ATTTAGACTGGTTGACTGAATTGGATCTTGTGTGTGTGTCTCTCTGTGCATGTGTGTTTCCTCATGTGTACATATTTGTAATTGTGTGGCAGTCATAATTTTTTTTGCTGATTTTTGTCATTTAACAAGTATATTTGAGGGAACCTCAGCATGTTCAGCATTTTTTCAGCTGTCCATTTTGCTTTTCCAATTTTTCTGTTTAACTTATTACTATTGTGCTAAATCACACTATTTCTGCTATTTTATAAGATTTGTGCTTAATATACTATTTCTGCTTTTATAGGATTTGTGCTTAATATAGTATTTCTGCATTTTATAACATTTGTGCTTAATATAGTATTTCTGCTAAATGTAGTATTTATGCTTAATCATACTATTTCTGCTTTTCATAGGATTTGTGCTTAATATAGTATTTCTGCTAAATTTAGTATTTCTGATTAATTATAGTCTTTCTACTAAATCATAGTACAGTGATTCTGCTTTTTATGGGATTTGTGCTAAAACAAAGTATTTCTACTAAATGTAGTATTTATGCTTAATCATACCATTTCTGCTTTTTATAGGATTTGTGCTTAATATAGTATTTCTGCTAAATTATAGTCTTTCTGCCAAATTAAAATATTTGTGCTAAAACATAGTCTTAATTTAAAATTACAATATTCATAGTTCATCACAGTGTCTCTGGTAAATCACAATATTTCTGCTCTGTTGTACTATTTTTCTAAATCATAGTGTTTCTGTAATGTTTAAGTATTTTTGGCTAAATATATTCTTTCTGTTATCTTATACTATTTCTCCTAAATTCTTGTATTTTTGAGAAGTTATCATGTTTCTGGTAAGTTACAATATTTCTGCTAAATTCTGCTATGCTATTGTATTTCTGCCAAGTATTATGTTTCCTCTAAGATATTGCAGTTCTGCTAAGTTATTCCATTTTAGCAAACTTCTTTTGCTTCTGCAAAGTTTTTACAATTTCTGCAACTTTTCAGCTTTTTCAGCTACTTTTTGCATACAGCTTCAGCTTTAAGCATCCACACTGCATTTTCGCAGGAAATGCAAATTTTTCTAGTTATTTTTCTATTCCACAGTATCAGAATTGACATCTGATACATGAAATACATTGAAAATATTGAACTGGTTCCTGAAATAGATCCATGGTATTTTGAAATAAAATCCCTCACATGGCGTCAGCACGGTATTGAGAATCCATGTTGGCCTCCATTTACTGTGCTATTGTTAGAAAGTCCCTCTTTTCATGGGTTTCTCTGCAAGAATAAGGTGGAATTACACTCAAAAACCGCTGACTTCCGGGGTCAAATTGAATGGTTTCCTAGGGAGCATCGCATCTATGTGTCCATCAGTCTCTCCATCTAGGATTCTTTTTCTGCTGTTCTGCAGAGAAACAGGATCTGAACGGTGAAGAACTTCTCATTAACTATACATGACCTGTGAAAGAGCCCCCTCTGCCCCTCACTTCCTCTGTCCTCCACACCTCCAGCTCTCACCTGTAGTCTTTTATTTTCTCTCTCCTCAGTCGTCATCCTGACGCTTGCCTCTTCTCAAATCCTACACCTTCGTTTCTCTTCCTACATTTCCTGTTTGCTCCCGGCTTAGCCCTGAACCACCTGCTGATGTATGCTGCCAGCTTAGCGTCGGTTTAGACTGAACACACTTCAAAACACGGACCTGGAAATCATGGACAGCAGCACAGTTCTTGGTTGTAGAACACGATGCTTCATTTTGCTGGCTGCATGTCAAATCTGGTTAAATGTAGGGGAAAAAATGAACAATTCTCAGATTTCCACGTATGCAGGTACACCATTGAATGTTCTTTTTAAATGACAGCAGATTTGTTTTTAATTAACTAATTGACGACCTGCATACGTCAGCGTCAGTGATCCTGCTGCCAATACACTGCAATAACACAAAGTGCTGAAGGGTGATGAAAAGAGACTTTCAACAGTACTAGCTCCATCCATCCATCCATCCATCCATCCATCCATCCATCCATCCATCCATCCATCCATCCATTGTTGTACATATACATATCGCATAACTTGAAACTAAAATAAAAAAACAGTCTCGTGAAGGGGATGCTTAGAGTGTAGAAATCCAAATAAAGATCGTTTCTGTTTGCAAATAAATATGTTGTCACTTCTTACCAGCTGCTTTTAATTAAAAGAAGGAGACATCAAATTAATGCAGACTATTCCTCGAGGTTTTCTAGGCAAATCAAATCCCACGAGATGTTTGAACACTCAGGAGGATACACACATCTGATCTGATCACTTGAAAACAAGAGTGCTGAGAATCTGTTGTAATGACGGGATTTTAGAAACAAATTTGATTTGCCTGTGAGAGTTGTCAGTGTATTTAATTCAATCCCTGGCCAAAAATTATGGAATCGCTACAGTTTGATGAAGTTCATTCAGCTTTTTCCTGCTTTTTTCTTTAAACTTTCTTAGAAATAAACAACTCATCTGTCATTCTATGTTGTCTATATATTTGCTACAGATTTTATACAAGGCGTCGTATAATCCTTTCCATTGTTTGAGTAGACACCTCTCTTGTTGGGGGCCATGCTTCCTTTCAGTCAGCCAGGTGTAGCAGCAGCTTGTTAAGGTCCTCAAACTCTTTCTTTTAACTGCAGACTATTTTGCATATTTAAATTTGCACAGGTATTTGTTTTAGAAATGCAAATTGCAAGGAGTTTCAATACTTCTTTCCTCAACACTCAGTGATTTCATCCTGCAAATGTGGTGATTCCATCATTTAACAGCTATAATTATTGTGTCCTGTAATTCCACTGTACAGAATAAAGGGGAAAGGACATGGATTATGAGGAATGCACTTTCTTTATGATAAACCACGCCATGCTTATATTGCTCTCTGTGAGTCATGCTACATTACAGGTACAGGTTCTCATTTGTATACCACATTACAATGACCTACACACACTAATAGAGCTTAATGGGCCTGGATTTTAGGGTTGTCTATCAATCAATCCGTCATCCATAATACAGAAGCAAGTTTTACTGTTACTGTATATTAAACACTGAGTTGCCATCGATCAGAGGATAATTGTAACAAGTGCACATAAAAACAATATGCATATGCACATGCACGCAGGCAAACTCATGCAAACACATTTACGCTCCTGCATCCCATCAGTCATGAACTTCGAGCACTTTCAATAATGTTCTCTTCACGCATGTATATGACTCACCACATTTGTGAGCTGGAGGTTGTTGATTGCTTTTTATTTGTCCATGGACCTGAATGTGCTCAGACTGGATGACTAACAGTGCAGTGTTATGAGTTTCAGCATGGGAATTAATGCAGCTTTCAGTACAGAAAGTCACACTGTGATTTGTAATACTCCCAGGCTCACAGGAAAGTCAGTATTTTTCCTAAACTCAACATTAATATGTTTGGCTCAATACAATGATTAATACTGGTCGCAGTGGTCATTTGATACTGATTGAGACCAGCGGTGCAGTGAATAACATTTCTTTTTCCTCTTTAAGTTCATTTTTCTTTTTCTTTTCTCTTTTTTTAAGGAGCACACAGTACAGTACATCATAGATTAGACTTCAGGGAGTCATTGTCAGTCAAACTGGGATAATGAGGAAAATTGTCCATGTTTTATGAGCATCTCTTAAGAAGTCACTTTTTGCAAAGAAATTGTAAAAGCTTCATTATAAGTTAATAGATCATTACAGATAAGTTCTAAACCATGCTAAGAACAAAGTCTGGGCTTTCAGCATCATATTCATCGCCTCTTATTACCTCCTGCTGGTTTCTTTCAGAGTGAGGAACAGCTGTGTTTATTTGTGGCTTTCAAACATTCAGAACTGCACTGATATGAAAAACCACACCAATAAAAATAACTGGAAACCTCAAAGCTGGTTTTAATAGCTTTTCATTGACCTACACAGCGTCAGTCTTCATTTTTAGCCATTATTAATTCTATTAATTACGAACAATAAACTGATAACATTAAATATAACAGTGAAAGGTCCTGCAAAGACATCTGAGGAAAGTCAGTCAACTCACATATCCTATGCATATTCTCAAGTTACATGGTGAGACAGGGGCACAGGCATTCATATACACTATCTATACTGTAATAATCATCTTCTTGCAGTATCACCTTGCAGTCTGCAGTGTACTCGACCATGCCTCTGTTTCACAGTACATTATTGGTTGAATGTAAGTGCTTAAGGTTGAAGTCTGTCTAATATTCTTCCATTTTAGTGCTTTTGATGAAAGGTCAGAGGTCATCTCATTCTGCTTTTTCTAAGTCAGTGCTCCTGTAGATCTGTATTTGTAGTCGGAGGTTCTACCTGCAATGTGTGTGCACAGGCACACTCGCCACTCGCCACACGCTCACACCTCATGTATATCTCTATCATATACTGTAGGAAGACAATCAATTATTCATGTAGGACAAGAGAAACTTTTCTATATTTTTCTTCTTATATGTGAAATTAATACACACCCCGTATCACTTTCATTTCCTGTAACTCGCCTCCAAACACACACACAGTCATTCACTTTCACTTCACATACACTCTCTGTCATGGATGCTTGTATTACACAAGCTCCCTGACAGATTTCCTGATTCATGGAAGGGAGACAAAGATTAGTTTCAAAGGGAACAGGGAAACATAATGAATGTAAACAGTGCTGTACTTTGTAATGGCTAGCATTTATTTAAAATGTCTCCACCCTTTTCCTGCTCTGCTGTCATATCGGTCCTTGTTTGGTGCCAGTAATTTCACACTGTTTGTGCCGTGTTGCTGTAACTCACTTTTATATGCACTTTTGTATTGTTTTTTTCACACAGTGGACGTCAGCCAAATAAATTGGAGGAGAATGAATCCACTATGAAAATGACCAATTGGCAGAAGTGTATGTGGTATAATGTGTGAGGTTTTGATTTGTCACTTTATTAAAATGTCACTTGTGTGTGTGTGTGCGTGTGTGTGTGTGTGCAGACACTTAAAGAGGCCAGCGAAAATGCCAGGAAGGATTTCCATCGTGAGGCTGAGCTGCTGACGAACCTTCAGCATGAGCATATTGTCACTTTCTACGGAGTGTGCGTGGAGAGTGACCCGCTCATTATGGTGTTTGAGTACATGAAACACGGTGACCTCAACAAGTTCCTCAGGCATGACTCTCTTCTTCAATATGTAAAATGGCAAAATTTTAAATGTGTTTTTCTCTAAAGAGTTTCTATGAAAAATGAGCGATCAAAGAATTAAAGATTAGGAAGCTTGCGTGTGCTAATCCAGCTTAATCTTCTACATACTCTCTATTAGAGGGACACATGTAAACATCGTACGTGGTTGATACATGGCTGAAAAGACAAATGATACATTGTTTCCCTTGTTTTTTTCTCACAGGGCTCATGGTCCAGATGCAGTTTTGATGGCAGAGGGCCAGACCACCAGACCTGTGGAGCTGACCCAGTCTCAAATGCTTCACATTGCCCAGCAGATAGCATCTGGCATGGTCTACCTGGCATCACAACACTTTGTGCACCGTGACCTGGCCACAAGGTTTGTAAAATACTCTGTTAATGCACATCGTGTTTGCTTGTTCCTAACAGATGCCAGATGTGTCATTAAACAGGAACTTTTATTCTGATCCTTGAGGAATTTATTTAAAACTCATAATGACTGAGTACGAACAATCGCTAATACCACCTAAAAACATCTAACAAGGAGGACTGTAGCTATTAGCGGAACCAGTAAATAATCAGCTAGAGATAATCAGTAAAACAGTCATGGTAATAACCATATAATAAGATATATGGTTGTAGTTTAACACCCTTCATTTTAACTCAGCAATGTGAAACATCTTTATTGAGTCTCACTGTGTTTGTTGTCCAAAAGGAACTGCCTGGTGGGTGAGAACCTGCTGGTAAAGATTGGAGACTTTGGCATGTCAAGAGATGTCTACAGCACTGACTACTACAGGGTAGGTGTATGTGTCGATATCTTTTCAGGCCTTTCTTTCAGCCTCCCCTCCCTCCCTGCTGCATGGGTGCCTCTCTGCTACTCCCCTGCATGGGCATGACTGATGGACGTGGGGGTTTGAGTAAGACACTCGCAGGGATAGGTTAACTCAACAGAAGGAGTTGGAAATGGTTAGCATGTTTGATTAGGTGAGTTCGTGGGGTGTTACATTTGCTTTAAGTAACTAAAAAAGTACAGGTGAAAGGAATGCATTTAAAAAGATCCATGTTCAGTGTTTTTGAGCATTTTTGTGTACTGCAGGGATATTTAGCAGCTTTTCTTGCTGTGCTTGGATAACTCAGGGGTACAAAACAAAACTGAAAGTGTGTGTTTTTCTTTCTGCAGATAATCTGTTACTTTTCCAAAAGGCCAAAATCTAATCAGTTGTATTGATTGATAGGTAGTTGGACTGTCCATTTTTCCTGCCCTTTCTCTCATTCTCTCTGACAAACCGACACAACTGACAATGACAGAGTAGGAGAGAGAAAGAGGTAGAAGACTGCAGGCATTCAATGGCTAGACAATCGTTTAAAAATTCAGAAAGATAATAATATACAACTGATGGATGTATCATTCAGTGACGGTAATTTTGCAGTAATAATTTATCTTGAACAGAAATGCTCATTGTAGTTATGAAAATCTATATTTCTAACTTGCTGGGAAAGAGAGTTGTCTTTGCAGTTTGTTCTCCTTTCACACGTTCCACATGCATAATTACACATATGTACTTTGGTATAAATTGTAATGTATATGCACTGTATCGGCATGCTGATATAAGAAAACACAAGATATTTTTTCCTGTTTCTCATTAAAAATATTAAAATTGTCTGCAACTACTGGGGCTAAAAAAAAATGAAGTCAAGTTAGAAGTGCCAAAAACTGCAGTTCCTTTAGTGGCCACTTGAGGCTGCCCACATTAATAGAACAGAATAGAATAGAATTCAACTTTATTGTCATTGCACATGCACAGGTACAGGGCAACGAAATGCAGTTTGCATCAAACTGCATTTGTCTGTTACCTATTTTCCCATCTGTATGATGATTTCTTTTTTACAAAGTGCTCTACAAACTGAGATATTGGCTCTCTTACGAGTTAGCAAACATAAACTAATGTAAATCAATTAGCTGCAACCAACGTCTCGTTCTGTACTGGCACAAGATGGTGCTAACCATGTTATAAAAATTGTAACTTTAAACATGTATTAAATCCAGCTTCGAATTCATTGATAAATCCGTGTCAGTTTTAGGGAATATGGCTAAATTTGAAAGGCTTGTGTGACTGACTGATTTGCCAGCAAAGGCACAAAGTGCTGTGCACAAAAAGAGTAATATAAATAAGAAGATTAAGTGCCATAACAGCAAATAACACAACCTGTTTATTTCATTGTGTCTTGCACAATAAAATAAACAGGTTCTTTGATTATGTATGGAGAACCACTAAAAAAAATGTGAGCGTAAGTATGAAAATGGTCATTTTCAGAATCAGAATCAGAATACTTTATTGATCCCTGGGGGAAATTATTATTTTTAAACAGTTAGTGCAATGCTTTTGGTAAATTACTTGAATTAAGGGTAAAACTGCAGTATTATTATCCAAATGTTTATGAGCCTTGCTATATCTGTGTCTGTGGATTGAAGCTGTACGCTTTATGAGTATAACTTACTAACCAAGCTTGCTACATTCAAAATATGTTCCTTTTCTGAAGGCTTCCTGCCCATCCTTTATATACAGTCTGTGATTTCCTCACAGAAAGCTTCTGATACCCCACAAAACTATAAATGCCACGTTGCCTGAATGAATCTTTTTTAAAAGAACATAAAAAAATGCTATTTTTTCGAGGTCTTTGATAATGACTGTTGACATAAAATCAAAATAACAGGTTATATTTGGCATCAAATTAAAGATTGGTTTGCTGCTGTGGCATTTTTTTGTGCTATCTCTGTGTGACGACACACAGCAAGCTCCCCGCTCCTCCTCCTTCCTTTCACCCCTCCTCAATAAAGCTAAGTGCTGTGGCTGTAGTCATGGTAACGGCAGAGGGCAGTGGCGGTGGGTCTCTTACTTGGGTCTCCAACGTTTCTCAGGAAGAAAAGTAATCAGAGAAGTTCTGTTTAGTATGCTGAAGCAGTAGTGGAGAAATAGAGTTGGAGAAGGAGTAAGATGTAAGTGTGGGAGATGGAGGCAGGAGGGTGGCAAAGCGATGAAAGGAGAGAAAGGCTTGGAAATAAGGGAGAAGGGGGGGAGTAGCAGGAGAAGAAGAGAAAGAGGGAGGAGAAGGAGTGGGATGCCAGGAAAGAAGAAAACAAGACACAAATAAATATCCAAAAAGAGAGACGAGGCAGTAATAGAGCGATACAGGGGCATACGGCACTGCTTAAGACGACCACAGAGCAGCGTATCACAGTAAAATGACAAAAAAAAGGACAGAGAGGTAGACAGACAGGAGAAAAACAAAAACCAGAATAGAGGCATAGGGGGTGGAAGGTAAAACATAGTGATTCAGCCGTATTTCAGCATCCAGGAGAGACAGAGGTGTGTGTGTGAGTGTGGGGGGACGTGTAGAGTGTAGGGACCCAGTCATGCTCTTGCGTCAGACAAGTGAAGATGAGTCATAGAGGAATTGGAGCCCCCCCCACAACCCCATGCCTGTGTGTGTGCGTGTATATGTGCAGGGAAATAGATGCAGAGGCGTAGGATTGAAGGGGCTGTGATGACGTCATTGAATCCCCTGTTACACAATGAACCTGACAGGCGCTTCAGGAGACAGACAGGATGCCTCAAATCAAACCTTGAGCCTTTCCACACAGGCTCGGTGTGCGTGTGTGTGTGGGCGTATGGGTGCGTGGGTGGGGCTTGACTCCAACACTACAGCACATTTATTCATTTTCCCCTAAACTGATTTTATGGCCAAATGTGTAGGATGAAAGAAAATTAAGGTTTCATGCCTGACTGTTTTACGCTGCTGACACGGCCTGTAGAAGAACACGGGCAGTGAAGCAGAGCTGACAAATCTCTGAGTAATTTTTTTGGGTAGTGGGTGTTTTTTTTTCTTCAGAGACAAGTATCGACCTTGTGAAGCACCTGGAGAGGCGACAGTGAAACAGTTATCCGTGATTAAGCAAATGTGCATCAAGACAAAACTGAGAGGATGTAACACAAATTATTCAACTGCTCATTGCTCATGTACATGGCCTCATTGTACCTTTTATATCATTATTACTATATTATTATTACAAAGAAAGAGACCTCATTCACATACTGCATTGGTTACCAAGAAGTTGATGGGGCAAAGTTTTTTGCCTTTGAACTTGTTGTGAAAGTGTGCAAGCTAACCCAGTCCTATTTGTATAGTTGTGTAGAACTGATTGCAACATCACAGGGACTGAAAAGTCAAAAGTCAAAAGCAAGTAGAAACAAATAAAATGATGATCTAAAGTTTGCATGCTTACATAAGCTGAGACTTCATATCTTCTGGTTAAGAGATTATGTCATTAATGGCTCAACGAGAAAGTTTACGCAATCATCACACCACCCTACTTAGTCTCTGAGGACAACAGCCAATAATTGCTCATTTATAAAACTTACTGTAATACACAAACTATTTGTTTTTGTTTGTTTCTTTGTCTGCAAATTCTCCCTGGATCATTATCTAGAAAAAATTTGAAACAAAGGCCCCTTAAGGTTCTTATTTATATCAGATGTTATGCTGTCCTCGTGTTGTCTAGCGACGACCTAGCAACAGTGACACTTTTTAGCATTTAAGCTCCTATAATGCAGTATTAAAGCATCCCATTGTTTTAAGTTCAAGACAATAACATCTCATTTATATCCACAAAGGCTAAATTATGCATGATATACTACAACACTATCATGTTGCTTAGCAACCACTTTGCAGTGGGCTAAAGTGACCCATTTTTTAACATTTAAACAACATCTGTTGCCCGTTTTTTACTTTTCTCAATGTGATTAAATATATCAGTAAGCAATAGCATGGACAAGCCAAACAATACTGTAGCATGAGTGCATATTAGTGAAGAGAAATTAAATAAAAGGCAAAATCATCATGCCGATTTTGCCCACATTGTTTGCTTACCTGTGTGAAAGCAAAGCCTGTTCAATCCTGGCTGGTGAATCTAACCTGTGATGCCAAAAGTCTTGCCTTTTACTTTGGATTTTGCATATGAATATGTACAAATCTTCTTTGCGAGATTAATCGAATGTTAACACAGACTTTTGCAGGCTTTTTTACTTCCTCATTGTTGTTCTAACAAAACGTCAGTATGTAGCCATTGGGAATTTTGTGACTTGACAACTGCACGTTGAAGAAGTACTACCATCATATTTCCTGCTGGGTTTTTATTCGACATGAGCACCATCACAAAAAATACTTAGCTTAAACCTACATGTCATTGGCTTTACTGTATCTGAGCTGGCCAGGAGAGAACCATCACATGTACTTAGACACAAGCGTTCTTGAGTTTTTTCCATGACAGCAGAGACAACGATACGGTTCCCTGTGTAAGGTGCGAGTGGGCGGGGTTACTCACGTAAGCTCCTCCTACATCAAAATCCCATAATGCCTTCTTTTCAACGTGCAGTTGCCATGGATACCACAGCCTCTGGGAGGTCATCACAAAGAACACACATCCCTCCTCTCTGCTGTGTTTTTTCCTCGTCTTTTTGAGGCTTTCCTGGAACACTCAGACAGTGGTCGAGGTGAAATAATGCATATTTATAAGACAGAGACTGAGGGAGACAGGCAGGCGGGCTTAGAGACAGTGAAGGAAGGTGAGAACGATTGAGAGAGATTGAGGGGGAGAGAGATAAGGGAGCAGGAAAGAAGACAAAGACTGATGACGAAGCCACTGACAGCAAAGACAAAACACAGAATGAGCCGATGACAGAGAGAAATGCAGCAACTAGGCGTAGGAAAAAAAACTTAGAAAGCATGTTTGGTCTTC